ACGGAGCTGATAGATTACTAAGGCTAAATCTTCGTAGACCCGCAATGTCCTTATAACTTGCCCCAGTACAGCTCGAATTCCCAAGACACATGCTTCATATTCTGCCATGTTATTGGTGCAATCGAAGTTTAGTCTGCTAGTGAATGGGTAGTGACTCCCTTCTGGAGAGATCAGGATTGCCCCGATGCCGTGTCCTAATGGATTTGATGCACCATCAAAATGCATTCTCCAGGAACTGTCTGTTGAAGTCTCTGTTTCTTCTAAAGATATGGCCATCAAATCTTCATCTGGGAAATCAAAGTCTAATGGCTCGTAATTCTCATCGGTTCTACTTGCCAAAAAATCTGATATGGCACTTCCCTTGATTGCTTTCTGGCTCACATACTCGATGTCGAATTCAGACAACAACATCTGCCATCGGGCTAACCTTCCAGATAGAGTAGGTACACCCATCATGTATTTTAATGGATCTAGCTTGGAAATCAGCCAAGTAGTGTGATAGAACATGTATTGTCGGAGTCTTTTTGTAGCCCAGACCAGAGCACAACAAACTTTTTCGATAGGAGGATATCTGACCTCGCAATCGGTGAACTTCTTGCTCAAATAATAAATGGCTCTTTCCTTCTTTCCAGACTCGTCATGTTGACCCAAGACACACCCCATTGAGTTCTCGAATATGGATAAATACAAGAACAGGGGTTTGCCCGAGATAGGGGACATCAGGATAGGAGTGTGAGACAAATACTCTTTTATTTTTTTGAATGCAATTTGACAATTATCGTCCCATGCTTCGGAGTTGTTCTTTCGGAGAAGTCGGAAGATTGGGTCACATTTGTCGGTTAACTGAGATATGAACCGTGCTATGTAGTTCAATCTGCCTAGAAAACCTCAGACCTCTTTTTGTGTTCGTGGTGGAGGTAAATTCTGGATAGCTTTAACTTTATCAGGGTCAACCTCAATGCATTTCCTGCTGACTACGAAGCCTAACAGTTTACCGGATGTTACCCCAAATGTACACTTGCTAGGGTTCAGTCGTAGTTGGAACTTCTTCAATCTCTGGAAGAGCTTTCTCAAATTCTCGACATGTTCATTTTCTGTTTATGCCTTGACAATCATGTCGTCAACGTAAACCTCAATTTATTTGTGCATCATATCGTGGAACAGGGTCACCATAGCTCTCTAATAAGTTGCCCCAGCATTCTTCAATCCGAAGGGCATCACTTTGTAGCAGAAAGTTCCCCACATTGTTACAAACGTGGTCTTTTCCATATCTTCAGGATGCATCTTGATCTGATTATACCCTGAAAATCCATCCATGAATGAAAAGAAGGCGTTCCTGGCTGTATTGTCCACCAGAGTGTCTATGTGTGGCAGAGGAAAGTTGTCTTTGGGACTTGCCTTATTAAGGTCCCGGTAATCGACACACATGCGTACTTTCCCGTCCTTTTTTGGCACAGGCACTATGTTGGCCACCCATTCTGGATATTTGGCCACTTGAAGAAAGTCGGCATCAAATTGCTTCTTGACTTCTTCCTTGATTTTAAGGAGCATTTCTGGTCGCATTCTCCTCAACTTTTGCTGCACGGGTTTGTATTCTGGTTTGATAGGCAGTTTATGGACTACCATACCTGTGTCTAATCCCGGCATGTCTTGATACGACCAAGCGAACACATCTTTGTACTCTTGAAGTAAGACTATCAAGTTTTGTCTTGTTTCAGCCGAAAGAGTTGTGCCAACTTTAACTTCCTTTCGATCTTCTTTAGTACCCAGATTCAGAATTTCGATCACCTCCTCATTTGGCAGTATTTGTTTATCTTCTCTTTCTACCATTTTCAATAATTCAGTAGACAGGTTGCACTCATTTTCATTGTCACATTCATCAAATTCCCCGAGACAAATGGTTGATTCAAAATCCACCACTGGATCAGGATCATCAGTGCCTACATTATCGTTATCTAAGGACCTGAAAGAAACAAAGAATATAAATGCGTGAGAGGAAAACATCCCACACAAAATAGTCAAGAATTAAATTCGAAAGAAAATGGAAATGAAATACTGGAATGAAGAAGATAGAAAATGAATTTAAAAGAAACAAAATAAGGATAAAGAAAACTTGTTTGTCATAGAAAGGGAAAAATGCATCTTTCATTGAAATTAAACAATAACGTTCATTCACCCTTACAAAAGATCATCTATTGCCCGGGTATAGGCAAATAGGGATAGTTCGAATATTACTCTGAAAGACTCTTGTAAACCACAGGTAGTTCTTCCACCGACCAATTGCTAGGCACAAACCCAAGTGGTAGAGGGCAAACTCCGGATCTATCTGCGTTGTCAATATTTTCTGTGGTCACGACATTGATGTTCAGATCTTCCAGAGCCGCTTCTAAGTCGGATGAGGTGGTCTCAAACACATAACCACCTGATTTGAATGTGTGGTAAAGAGGCGGGAATGTCATGGGCTCTCATTGAAGTTCACTTCCAGTAAACCTGGCCATTCTTCTGTCCCGGTTCTTCTGGATCTCTTTCCTCTTCTCATGATGACTGGGCTGAAAACCAAGCCCAAAATGATATAGCTTCGAAATAGGAAGGACTGGATTAATCATTCCTTGCAGATGCTTCCCAATCCCTTTTCCGATTCTGGCGCCTCTTCCCAAAGTCTGCATGATCTCTATTCTAGTACACTTGGAAAGTCGGGGTTTATGAATCCTTCTTCCTTTTGCCACAAAGGTGGCATTCACAAACTCCAAGGAGTGGAATGAACACTCTACCGCTTCCTCGTCTACTTCGATGTATGGGGCCTCCGTGGTCACGCTTGCCACGATATCTTCCTCAGTATTTATAATTACTAAGGCCCCATCAATAACCAATTTAACCTTTTGGTGCAGCGTGGATGATATTGTACCTGCTTGATGAATCCATGGCCTTCCCAAAAGACAATTATAGGAATGCATGATATCCATCACTAGAAACTCGATATTGTAGGTGGCTGGTCCGATGGTCAACGGTACCTCGATCTTGCTAATAACCTCTCTCTTGGTCCCATCAAATGCTCGGACCACATTCTTGCAGGCTCTCATATTTGATGTATCTATTGGAAGTTTCTTTAATGTGACTAAAGGCATTACATTCAGGGCTGAACCGTTGTCAATTAAGACACTTGGTAGGGCATGCCCTTTGCAATATGTGGTGATGTGCAATGCCTTTGTTCGGCCTCTTCCTCCGGATGGAATCTCATCATCTGAAAATGAGATGAGATTATCAGCTTGAATATTATTCACCAGTCGATCCATTTTGATGACCGGTATATTCTGTGGCACAAACGTTTGATTAAGGACTTTCAATAGTGCCTCCCGATGTGCCTCTGAATTTAACAAAAGTGCCAACATTGAAGTGTGTGTTGGCAAGTTGTGGAGCTATTCTACAACACTATACTCGCTATGCTTCAAGAATTTGAGGAATTCTTTAGCTTCTTCCTCCTTTATGGGTTCGTTGATAGCTAGTACATCTTCCTTGAAAGGCTCAAGTGGTCTTTGCCCCACTTTGCTATCATATCCTTCGGAAGTACTCACCTGACATCCATACCTCCATGGCACTTGTCGAATGTTCTTGTACTGAAAAGGCCGAGGTACTGTAATAACCACCTTAGTTGGTGTTGCTGTTGTCATTTTTGCTTTAGGGAAAATTATCAAAGGACTACCTCTACCGAATTTCTTGTCTGATGATTCTCCGGTAGCGCAAACATCCTCTTCCGGGGAATCCTGAATTTCTTCATAAAATTCCAGCTCTTTTCGGTCCATCATGAGTTGGACTAATGATCTGAATTCCGGGCACTCTTGTACTTCATGCCCCTTTTCACAGTGGTAACAACAATGGTTACCACATTCATTCTTTGTTGCACATGATTGGGGTGCAAGAAGCCCTACCTTTACCATTTGGCTCCATACCCAAGCCAAATGAGTTTTAACTTCCGAAACACTAGTTTTGATTCTCCTGCCATTTTTGGTGGTGACTGTATTGATCCCGGTCTCCGGATGATTAGGCAATGGATTATGGGCGACGTTCGGTGTTCCAGAGTTGAAAGTGATCCAATTCTTGTTCCGCATTCGTTGGACAAGCCTCTTGAATGCGAGACAACTTTCGATCGAATGCCCTTGCACACCACCATGATATTCGCAATGAGCGTTCTCGTCATACCATCTCGGGTAAGGGGGCTTTATTGGATCCATTGGGTAAGGCGACACCGCGTGAGTGTCGAAGAGCTGTTGGTATAACTCTTTATATGTCATGGGAATGGTATCGAACTGCTCCCTTTCCCTTTCCCTTTCTTTCCTTGATTCTCTTTGAGTTTGAGTAGAAGCACCAGATGGTACAGCTGCAGTGGTTTTTGAACTTGATATCGTAACACCTTTATTAGCGTTATAGGTGTTGATATTGTTGATCTCTCTATCTTTATTCTTCATGAGAGGCTTTTTACTGGAATCTCCTCCCTCAATTTTTCCTTGTTTAAGGGCCAACTCGATCAATTCACCGGCCATGACTAAATCTGAGAAACTTCCCGATGTGATTATCACCAGGTGCCCAAAGTAAGGTGTCTTTAAGGTCTGTACAAACAGTTTTCTAGTTTCATTTTCATCCAATAGTGGATGAACTTGCACAGCCAAATCCCTCAATCGTTGTGCGTATTGTCGGAAACTCTCGTTGTGTTTTTTCTTCAGGCTTTGTAACATAACCCGATCTGGTCTCATATCGTTGATATGTCTATACTGCTCCAAGAAAGACTTGGCTAAGTCTTTCCACATCTTGATATGAATTCGGCTGAGCTGGTTGTACCACTGGATAGCTGAACCGGACAGGCTCTCCTGAAAGCAGTGGATCAGGAGTTGGTCATTCCCCCCATATCCTGTCATCTTCCGACAGAACATAATGATATGGGCTGAAGGTCAGTTGTTCCCGTCGAACTTCTCAAACTCAAGAACTTTAAACTTTGGTGGAATCACCAAATCTGGAACTAGACTCAGCTCCATTGTGTTCACTCTATAATAATCATGGTCCCCTTGGACCATCTTCATCTGGTCTTCCAACATCCTGATTTTTTCTTCCATCCTTTTGGCTTTATCTTCCTCATCAAAATCCAGGATATGGTAATCATCCAGATGATTGTCAGGGATATTCGCGGAAGTTTGTATCTTAACAATTGACGCAGCCTTCCCTTTGGTAACTGATGAGTCCCCAGGTAATGCAACTTTCCCTTTAGTTGCGGATAAGTCCCCAGGTAATAATCCAGGTGAGATAACAACTTGTGGGGTTGGTGATATGGTTACCCCCTCGGAGAAACCTCCCTCTACTGTACTAGCTTGTTGTAAACATGATAATTTGGCCACGATTTGGTCAACCAAAGACTCCTGGTTTTTCTTGATGGACTCCAGGGTGCTTTGACTGTTCTGAGCCATCTTATCTTCCAGTTTCTTTTGCAGTCTTGTCATGTTCTCCTCGAGTTTTTTCATTCTGGCCTCCATATGTCTCTTTTTTGTTCGAGTGTTGTACGGATGAGCTTGTGGAGGTAAGCTTGATGTTTGCTCTTTCTGAGACATGTTCTGTTAGTTAATACGAATGTAAAAACATGGAAAATATAAAAAATAACATGAAATATAAAATGCAAAGTATGCAATGCATGATGTATGCAATGTAGAGACATTGATCCAGAAAAGTATTCATTATCATAAATAATCCTTATTTAAACAAAAGTGCTTTATCTTATAAGAGACATAAAAGCAATCTAAAGGTATATCCGGACTAAATCCTCTAGATGCCGAATAGCTTCCAGTAGGTTGAAAAGTCTTCTTCCTTCATCTGTCACTGGTTGGATGCCTCGTCGAACCACTCCGACTTCCCTTGCTAAGTCACGCAAATGGCGGGCTGCCTTCTGAACTTGATCTAGGAAATCACTGATTACTGCATCTCTGGCCCTCACCCTTTGCTGAGCTTGCTCCCATCGGAAACGCCACTGTAAACCTCCATCGAAAGACACTATCTGAAGCTCGTTTGCTTGCTTCTTGAACCTATCAATAATGGCTTCTAACTCAGCTATGGTCTTTCCCGCTTGCTCATGTTGCCTCTCCAGATCAGCCACCTGGATTCTCAAGCGTTAGTTTTGATGTTGACTATCTGCTAAGCGCCTTTGAGTAGTCTTCAGTTGTTCCTTCCAAGTTCTCTCATCAGGCCCCTCAAACTTCCTTTTCAGACTGTGAGCTTCATCTTTCCAGTATTCAGAGGTTCTTTTCAACTTAGAGTTATCCTGGACTTTATCTTGGTACTCCTTTCTCAAGTCCTTAATCTCGAAACAGATCTTTTTATGTTTTTTCTCCAGTTTGTCTGCCCGATCTTTCTAAGCATCGACATCTAGTTTCCATTGATATCGCTCAGCCTCGAGCTCTCTTACCTTTTTCTTCAGCTCATTCTTTATAGCTTCAAACTCTATTTTTGCTATTTCAAGTTCGGAAGGGACATGCCTGAGATGTTCCTCCATTGTCCGGGTGTCCTCATATTCTGGCACCGGGATATTGTCATTTTTCCGCAATCTTCGCCATTCCAAATAATCTGGAGTAAGCATGTCTTTAGCAGCTACAACATCCATCCGGAACACTTTCTTCCATGACTCGGCTGCTTCCTTGATCATCTTCTTATAGCTGTCACCATGATACCCAAACTCTGATCTAGCTAGTCCGTATGTCGCTGGAACAAACTGACGTGCCACATACTGTCTAAGTGCTAACAACGGAGTATACCCAACTGTACCCCAAAGTCCAAGTAAGGTCATAGTGTCAGAGTCCCCACACCGAAAAAGAACGTCGCTGAGGAACAACCAGGGGGCTCTCCAGGCAATATCTCGGTCCTGAAGATGAGTGAAGACTTTCATCCACTTCTCTTTTGAAGCGCCTTCATGCCATTTCATGGTGATGAACTCTCCCAAAGGTGCTGAATCAGCGGTAGGCAACCCCGTTAGTCTTCCAGAAGTGGCTGTGAATCCAGATTTGAAGGAACTGAACACATCCAATGAATCTACCTCCGCCAGCTCTTCGGCAATGGTTGAGAGAGCGAAAAGTCTCGGCTAAGATGGTCGGTGCTGGGTTGACTCGTTTCAGAAGTTGCTCAAACAGTTCTACCACAGCTGCGTCAATGCATCCCAAAACCTTCGGAAAGATGATCAAGCCATACAGACCTAGTGCAAAAAGGTCTATAGTCTTCCATTCATCAGGGTGGTCCTTCATTAGTTGCCTTATGTGGATCCACTCAATTTCTTGCCCGTTACCTTTGTGTCGGAGTCGGTCAGTCACCCACTTTTCATCAACTCCTGCAATCTTAGCCATTCCGTTCTTGAAAGGCTGACTCTTGATGTGTTTGATGTAGGCTCGCTCCAGTTTAATGCTTTCACAGTGCAATAGTGTAGTATACTCCTCGATGGTAGGTATCATGTCCTCATGGTTGAAAGTGAAGCAACTGTATCCCGGGTTCCAGAATTGAACCAAGGCTTTGATTAAGGGCTCATCGGTCTTAACATGAAGCAAAAGTGCAATGTCACCATACCGCTGACTGAACTTCTGTTTCCGATCGTTCTTCCAACTGTCCCAGATGTCTCGAAGTTCTTGCACATTGTTCTGTTTTAGGCTGATAGAGGCGTAGCTAACCAGCTCTGTCATATAGTTTCCTTGAAGACTGTCTCCCTTTTCCTTCTGAGCCTTCTCAGACCATAGTCGTACCTCGGGGTTTTTAATCTCTTGTATTACAACACCTTTGTCCATAGATTCAGATTATTTAAGTTTTAACAAACACGTTTAGTGGATCAATGGCCTCTTTTATGATGCAAATGCTAAAAAACAAACACAAAGGCAAAAAGTTAGTAATATAAAAAATGATGAAATAAATGGAAAAAAGTAACAAAGACAAACAAACAATATGATTAGGGTAAAAATATCCTAGGTTTGGAAATGAGGTTATGGGGTAGGCTCTATTTCTCCATAGTCTCCCGTTTTAGATGCTAAAAAAAATGGTACCCGAGTTCTCTTTGCTGGTGCCCCTTTGGGCTTGCCAGACCCTTAGTCCTAAACCCATCACAGGCTTGTGTGGACTAAGTTAAACTCGAGAGGAAACATTCCCTTATGCCCACACGGAGAATAAATTCACACGAAGGCATAAGTTATATGTATCCTGAAGGCTACTTGCTAGGCCCACACGGTGAATAAATTCACACGAAGGCGTCGCTTTCACCCCCACTTAAAACGGGTTCGGAGCTCGGGTTTAGAGCCTTAGATGAAAAAGTTTGGAAAGCTGAAATCATTAGAAAACAGTCAGTACAACTATTTACTCGGAAAAATATAATCAAAAGTAAGCAATAATGATCGAAATATTACCTTAAAATTTAAATTTACCCTTTTCATTAAAAAGACAACTGGAAATTACCTTAGCCTGACTCGCTTACCTATCCCCAGCGGAGTCGCCAAGCTGTCGGAACCGTCTTTCGGTTGGGCCCCGGAATTGGGTTTCGACTTAGGAAAATAGATTAGGAGTCGCCACCGATCATTTATTTTAAAACAAATGGGTCGATCGGATACCTTATTTCTTACCTGATCTGCGTCTTACCAAAGATGTGTCGGATTCGGGAGTCGGTTACGGTCAAGGAAGGATTAGCAGCCTTGAACTGCCCTTTCGGTACTACGTAATTTCCAGTTGTCTTTAGTTAAGAAAATTGAAAGTTTAAATTAAAAGGTAAAATAACGATCCAAAATTGCTTACCTTAGAATGATTTGAAGATATCCTTAAAAAGTCGAGAAATGTATTAGATAAAAAAATACAAATAAAAATAAATGAATGAAATAAAAATAAAATAAATATTTTATTAATAAACACATAAACGTATAAATAAGAAATTTAAAATAAAATAAAAATATGTAATACAATAAATAATAAAACCCAATAAAAAAATGAATAAATATATGTATATACGTTAAATAAAATAAAAATAAATTATATAAAAATATGTATATATATGCATAAGTAAAGACTAACAAAAATAATAGCAATAAATAATACATACATTTAAACATAATACATATATTTAAACATAATAATATTTAATATATATATATATATATATATAATAATATTTAAACACCCCCCATCACTCCACCGAAAGTTTTGGGGGGATTTTGCTAAGAGACTTTAAAGAAAAAAGGGCCCTAAAGAGTGATAATTCAAAGAGGTAGGTATTATAATTAAAAATAATATATATATATATATATATATAATAAAGACAAAATATATAAATAAAAATATAATATAATAATAATAATGAATAAAACGAAAATAATAAATAATAGAAAATAATAAAATATAATTAAATATAATAAAATATAAAAGAATAATAAAAATAAAAATAAATAATATATACGTATATATATATAAAATAAAAATAAAAAATGTAATAGTATAAAAACGTAATATATTTAAATATAATATAATAAAAATATAGAAGTATAAAATGAGGTTAGATTACATAAAAAACGAAATTTAGTGCCGATTTAAAGATAACCGAGGGAATTAAAACCGATTTGGGACTAAAATGAAGTAATTAAAACATGGAGGAATAAAACCGGATTTACCCTTTTATACACAAAACACGCGGATCCTATACAGATGGGTCGGGTTGCACGCGGGTTATAAATGATCCATGGATCATGTATTTAAGCTAACAATTTTTTTTAAAACATATTAGCCTCATTTTGTAATCAAAAGCCCCCCATTTCCTCGTTTTCTTTGTCTCTTTTCTGCCTAGTTCATATGTTCTTTGATGAACACATGAACGCCATCGCCAAATCCAGATTCCGGCCGCCGTTATTGGCGTCGACCGCCGCTCGCCGGCGATAAAATATAAAAAGTTCTGTTTTTTTGAAAGCCCTTCGTATATTCGTTTCAAAAATCTAAATAGTTTTTTTAGATCAAGCCTCAAAGAGAGTAGATATACGAACGAAGGTTCGAAAAATCCCCCCCTGCTCTGTCATTGGCTTCTTATTTCGAATCAACCAAAATGGAGTATAAACGACATGCATGCAAGATAAAGAACGAACCGAAAGCAAGGTAAGATTTTTACCTATTATTTCACTGCAAATCGAGTTACAAAAGATTTCTACTTTGTATAGTATTTCTCTGGTATTTTGCGCGTAATCCGTGTGTCCCATGTCCATAAACGTTACATTTATTTATAGGAAAATAAAATATTGTTTTTAGTCTCCATTTTCTTCCTAAAGTCTAATGGTTGTTGCATGTTTGACATTGGTGCCGAGAAATCCGGAGGAGAACGTGGCTGTGGGGCTAGAACGGCGTTGGGGTGAATTGATGGACGGAGAGCGGCGCAACAGGGTTTCCTGGAAACCCTGATCTTGGAACGAGTCTTGGGCCACTTGGGTTTTGGTTGTTTGGGCCTTGTCCCTGATTTGTTGGTCTTGGACCAGAAATGATGTGTCTACACCACTACATACTACTCATGATAAAAATGGGAATATCCAGCAGATAGGAAAATGAATTGAATTGAAATCAGAAATGCGTAGTGAAAACCCTAACAGGTCGAGCTCTGATGAAACAAAGGACAAGTCATAAAAAACGGCGATGAAGGTGAAGAGAAAAGAGGTAATTAAAAGGTGAAATTGAAATAGAAAGAAAAGACGGATACCAATTAGAAAACCAAACGGAGATCAATCGGAGGAAGAGAGATTTTCCAAGAGCCTTTTTATCCCTTCTTTCCATGGCAACGTCCCACATATCGTTCGTTCCCGATGTGCTTCGGCTGATTGAGTTTCAGATTCAATCAAAATCGAAAACCCCAAACAAGGAACGGATCCAAAATTTTGAAATTTAAATTAGAAAAGGGAAACAGACCCGGCCGTGATAAGCTGTGTGGATGAAATACTGAGCATTGGCCGTAACGCATAGCATTCCAGCTATGATCCCAAGGGGAAGTGCCACTTCCAGCCATATCCAACCCATTCTCTCTCCTCTGCTTCTCCTTTTATCAATCTGTTTGTTTGGTAAAAACCAATTACGGAATTGATTTTTTTTAAATCTCATATTTGTTACGTGTAATTAGTTTTTTGAAAAATATTTTCTCTTATTTATTTCATGTAATTTATTTTTTATAAAATATTATTTTAGTGTTTGATTGAGAAAAATTGGTTGATGTAAAATATTTTTCTGGTTAACAAAATTTCTTCTGTTCTTTGTGAAAAATGACTTATAGTCTGATTTTTCGTAAGAAATTTTTTGATCTTTTCACTCCAAAGAATAAATACTCAAAATAATTTTATTTTATGAATTTAATATTAATAGAATATTTTAATATCATTTTAATCAAAATATTAATTATTAAATATTTAAATATGTTATTAATATTTCTAATATTATATATAATATTTTTAATATTAATAAAATAATCAATTATATTATAATAATATAGATATTATATTTTATTTTAATAATATAATATTATTAATAAAATTTATATTATTTATTAATTTCATAGAAATAATATTAAATTTTTAATAATGATAATATTATTTATATAATTATATAAATAATAATAAAATTTTAATAAATATATTTAAAATATACTAATTAATATTTTAAATATATATCAATATTATTTTAATAAATAATTAATATTTTATAATATTTATTTCAATAAAATATACCAATATTAATATTTTTTATTAATAAATTATAAAATAATATTAATAATAAATAAATTATTTAAATATTTAAAAATAATAATTAAGTTTTATGATAATAATATTATTTATTGTATTTAATATTTGTAATAAATAATTTTAAAAAAACTCATCAACTAGTGGAAAAAATATTTAAACAACATCTTTCAAACATCATAAAACGTTTTCCATATGTTTTTCAGAAAAATGTAATTTATTTTACGAAAAACATTTGGAAAATATTTTTCAGAAATGTAATTCATTTTCGAGAATCCAAATTTCAGTAATTCATTTTCTAGAATTTAATTTTCAGAAAATCAATTACAGTCAAACAACCAAACCTTAAATTCAGCTGTCAGGAGTAGAGTAATTTAGTTTGGGCTTCTAGCCCAATCATCATCACAATGGGCTTTTCAATTACCTTTTTAACGGAGGCTCCATTTCATAGTTCACTAAAAAAAAAAGTTCTTCCTTCCCCCCTCATTTTAAAATTATCAAATTTCATTCGAACTTGAATGTAAAATTAAAATTCAACTAGAGTTAAAAAAATTGAATTTTGAAATATTTTAAGACTTAATTCGATTAAAGTTTGAATTCAAATTTGATTCTAACTCGAACTTGAATCTTAGGTGCATAAAAATTTTATATATTATTTTTTATTAAAAATATCATATAAATATTAATATTAATAACAATTTATTTTTTAAAAAAAAATTAAAAACATTATATTTTGAATTGTTAGTAAATTTTTCTAATCGAATGACAAGTATCTAGTTTTAGTTCATTAAGTACTAGAATAGAATCCATGTAAATTAAATATTAACTTAATTTTAATTGAATCAAACTCAAATACTTTATTATCTATGTTGTGTCATTTACACGTGTGATCTTACGTGGAAAGAGAAAGAAGGAGGTGTACAGCAAACACAATATCCAATGAAATACCCAAATATGATGAAATATAAGCTATAACTAAAAATGGTAATCCCAATTACCCATATGGATGGTCATATAAAGTAGGTCACGTTACGTCACGCACAAGCTAATCTTATTTAAGATGAATATATGGTTTTCATGTGTAATTTAATCATGATTTTTTTTTCTCATGTAATTTTAATTTTGATTTTAATCTTTATTTTTTTTGTTGGGTGCAATTTGATTTCTGACTTTAACTTTAATTTACATTTTTCTCTTTAAATTTGATTTTAATCTGTAATTTAGCCCTCAACTTTAGTTTTATTATACAATTGGGCCCCTAATTTTTAATATAAATTTATTCTAAGTTAAATATTTGATTTTTTATTAAATTAACATATAAAATATAATCTTAACACTTTGATTAATTTTAAATTTATAAATGAAAAGTTTAATCATTATTTTAAAATTGTATAAAAATAGTTAGGAGTCAAATTGTGTGCCAACGCCAACTTCAAGTGCCAATTTGCAACCCACAAAAAAAGTATCGAAAAAATTATAACTAAAATCCAAAATCAAGGATCAATTTGTTAGTTAAAGCTAAATGGTTAGGGGTTAGACTACACCCCAAAAAATTAAGAGCCAAATTGTATATCAGAACCAAAGTAAGCAGACATAAATACATTAACTTTCTCAAAAATATTATTAAAAATTATTTTTTTATTAATTTGGGGTAAATACAAGACAGTGTCTGTTCAAAGATAACTCTTCATCTTTTGACATTGAACGCTCACACCACTGATATATATAGTGCTCGAACCCAGTTCATCGAGAAATAACAACAATTCTTTTATCACGGAGGTCATTTGGTTTATGTTTAAATATTAATTATTGAATATTAGCTATTGAATTTAAATTAAATTTAAATTAAATTGTCATATTTCCAAGTTCTAATGGCAAAATGACAATATTTACAAAAAAAAAATGATGAAATTTGAACTGGATGATTTTTTTAAGTCCTATGCAATTGACATTTGAATATATTATATTAATGTGGATAAATAGAATGAAAAGATGGTTATTAATTGAAATTGTTTTATTCCTATTTTGTCTTATATATAAATGGATAAAGGTGGGAAGAAATGTCATCTTCTTTCTCGTTCTCCATACTTCATTATTTTCTTTCTTTTAAATTAGGTTTCGTTAAAAATTCATTTTAAGTGCTACATGAAAAAAAGAATATTTAAATAAACTACATCAATCAAGAATAATATTGTTCGATACATCATAGCAATAACCCAAAGACAAATCGAGTCAAAGAATATAAAATACCCTAACAAAGGTTCAAAATACTAAATTATGAACAATTGTATTATAAGATCTAGAAATAAACTTGACATCAAAGTTTCCGATTAAAAAAAAGAAGATGAAATTTGGGTTTTTGGAGATTATATATTAAAACAATTACATCTGTGAATTTGTATACATTATATGATCAAAGAAAATTCTAAAAATACATTACCCGATAATCATTTTAAATTATTAAAATATATATCACACAGTTTAAAACTGACAGCACAATATGTTTCTATTACATGAGTATTGATATCATAAAACATTTATTGATACTCATATGTTGAAATTGTCAAAAATTATCTAGTACCCAAATATAGTATAAATATTGCTCAATAAACGGTTTTGAGTTCGAGACTAAATTTTTTTAACAAATATTATGATGTAATCATCCTATATTATTAAAAAAATATAAATATTAATACTCTTTATTAAGTGTTGGGTAAAGTATACAAATAATCTCAAACCATAAGGCTCTATTTTGTTAAGTCTTTCGATAATTAAAAATTATAAAATAATTCCTCAATTATAGGATATTATTTTATTGAGTCTCTTTATTATTAAAAAAAAAAATTTCCTGGTTATAGAACAATATTTTGTTGAGCCCCCAGCTATTAAAAGTTACAAAACAGTTACTTGATTGTTCATAAGTTCCAAACTTGTTGTTTTCTGTTACAAAAATGACCATTGTATGCTATGGAAGTTAACCTATTGACTGAGATATGACAAAATCTAGTGTAACCCCCTAGACCCGGCCTAGATGTTACGACTGAATCTAGGTAGTCATGTGTCGTATACAAAAATCATTTTTAGATTAAAACCACATTCTAAAATCCATTTCAGTGAATAAAATATGAATAATGGTAAAATGCATATATAAATAATGTTAAATATATACATATCATCAGAAGTTTGTATAAAAACATGTTCAGAACAAAATATCAGTAATAAAGATGCAGACAGAAAACGATAAAAACACGTGTCACCAAAATATAACAGAGATGGGCATAAAAATGTACAGTTGTGTAAAAACAGAGAATAATTCATCCTCTTGATGCCAAGTCTGCTAGCCTACTCTCTCGTACTATCTGAAATGTTAAAAATTAAAGAATGGGCTAAAAGGCCCAATGTACTCCTTGCTGTGTATACAAATATTCATATAAACACTTCCAAAAAAATTATTTATAAAACATGCTTTTTAAAACATGAACACTACCTCATACAAACACCCGAATGTGTAGATTCCCCTTAATCATACACCCACATGTATGTCCGGTAAGGACTTATATTGATACCATAAGGATCTGCGGTAAGTACTTACCCTGTGCACAAAGCAGAAAAACTTGTGGTAAGGTTTTACAAGTCATAGTCTAGGCCTGAGAAACTTCCTCCAATAATATCCCCCAATGATAGTAAATATGAACGCAATTGAGTAAAAACAGTAATTTAATTCTAGAGATCATATACAAAAATACGATAACTAGAGATCATGCCAAAAATATACAGTGAATCAAATATAAGAATTCAATGCATACGATAAAACATATATTATGCAATCAAAATATTTAAATTCCAAAACAATTCAAATAGATAGTTTAAAACAGTAACATAACACCATCAGGAACATATCTGTATAAAAATGAGAAGTTTGACACAATAGCCTACTATCGGGTCTACCTATCACAGTCAACAGCAATGTCATATCCTACGATTCGAAATAATTGTATCCAATTCTAGTAAATTAAATAATAAAATTTAATTAAACAATTTACTAAAATCTACGAGTGGCTCTCGAATAACTCAGACCATACAGATCTGCTGGACGTGAAGCATCGGACCTAGTCGACCCTCGGTCAGGAAAATCACGAGTACCTTTATAAAAATATAATCTCATAGCAATTTCATATTCAAAGACATGTACACATGCAGAAATGCTAAAAAACTAAGCACTTTCTGATTAACGAGATTATTCCGAGGCATTTTCTTCAGAAAAACGGATCGCAAAATCGGACCTAAGACATAAAAAAAATCAAGAGAGAGGTTTTCGAAAAAAGTCAACGGTCATCAAATGTCAAAGTCAATGGTTAAACGATTCGGTCAATGATCTGGTTCAGTTAGATCGATTTGATTCATTTCGATTGGACCTGTTCAGTCGAATTTGATTGGATCGATCGGATTGGGCCAAAGGAAAATGGGCTGAACAAAAAGGATGTACGGGTTGGACAGGTCAGATCGAGTTAGCAGGTCAGGTTGATAAGCTTCTAGAAGGTCCATCAGGCGGTAGATAAGCCCCATGTGTAGTGACAACGTGTGGGGGCACGTACGGCGACGATTGGCGACGAAAATATTGCTAAAAATCTAAAATTATTTTAGGGGTTTTAAGACACTTACCTAGCTCGGTTTATAAAGGTGAATGGTGGATAGCTCAATTACACTTTGTCAAAAATTTGTTATTGTTCACTCCTCCACACGCCGGAGACAACGACCACTGGTGGACTCGGGATGACACAAATAGAAAACGTTAAGTACGTTAAGTTAAATCATGTTATTAATTCATGTATTGAGTATAAATTATAGATTCAATTACTGTTCTCCAATTTAATCAACACAAAAGAATTTAAAATTCAAAAAATATAGTGAATGAAATTGATGAAATAAAAAATATAATAGCTCAATGCATAACATATAAATAATACAAGGCGTAAGGACAGAAATTGACCTAAAGGAAAAGAAAAGAAACAACGGAAGCAGCTAAGGCCGAAGGTATCCAAGGAGCAGTGGGCAGCTAAGACTGCGTTGGCATTTGGCATTGCCAACAATCACTATAATTCCCCGGTTGGCCTCTTCCTTCTCCGTGGGGTCCTCACATCTCATTAACCTGTGAATGATCGACGCGTATACTCTTAATCCCTTAATTCACTGCATCCATCCACACCCTCTAAATCCCCACCCACTGCATCAGCAGTAATAATAAAACACCGTCTCTCCTCCCACACCACTTCTAATTAGGAGGAAAACTCGATTTAATTTAAAATTTTATTTTTTTATTCAATTTGATTTGATTTTTAATTTTATAGTCTTAATTTCATTTGAAATTTGAGTTGAGTCATAATATAGAATTTAAATAATTCAAAATTTTTAATAATTAATAAATTAATTTATTAGTTTAAGTTGAATAATTTAATGCTGCTACATATATATCACAAATAAAAAACATATAAAATATATGTATCTTTTATATGATTATAAAAAATTGCTTAAATTAAAATAAAATAATATCATAACAATATAAACATTGAACTGAATTTTTTTAAAATAAAAATTAAATTATAAAATAAGATATATCAATTTAAATAATTTTTTTACTAGATTGGAATAACCTCGATTTCACTTCTAGTTTTGGTTAATAATGCCTTCCCCATTGTCATTTTCGCTTCTAGAAAATGAAGGCTGCAAAGGGTAGCAAATCTTTTACTGCCAAATACTATGAAGTAAAAAAAGTTGCAGTTTTCTAATTGGCTTTTCAGCTAAGTTTAGTTTCAATGGAACTCATACAGTAATTACATAGGGAAAAATTGAATTATTAGAAATTTGGACTCCTTTTCTACTAATTTAACAGAGAGCTGTCTACAATTTTTCTCTTTTTTGTAATTATAATTTTTTATTATATAAATATTATTACACACCTCTCTTATCGATGGTGTTGTGTTTTTCTTCCTTCTTTCCTCTGCAAGAAGCTCCATCTGGGAAATTTTCTTTTCTCCTTTAAACTCAAAGATCCGTTCTTCTTTTATTTTAAAGAGTTGAATCGTCAAAGGGCAAAGAACTATGTCAGGTATCTATAATCCCAACTTTTCTCCTGCCAGAGCTGCTTCTCCACAGATCAGAACCACCCCGGATGTTGACAGGTAAGCACACACACAAAAGTTTCACTTTAACTCGCGTTCTTCACTTTTTTTTTCCTTTTTTTCTTTTTTGCTTTCGGTGCTGGACAATTTTTAAACTATAAGGGATTCTTGGGTTCTTTTTCGTTTTGGTTTTTCCTCAGTCAGTACCTATCCGAACTGTTGGCAGAGCATCAAAAGCTTGGACCTTTCATGCAAGTTCTTCCTATATGTTGCCGCCTGCTAAATCAAGGTTTCTTCTTTACTCCGTCACTCATGGATCTAGATTGTTTATTAGTTGCCAATGCTAGATCACTTTGATTGACTCTAGTCATCTGGTGTTCTTGTTTGGCTTTTGCTAATACCTATTCCCTTGGTGGGATTGGAATTGGCTCGATCATGTAATATTTGTTTAGTGTGGTTCATCCAATACTAGAACATGACTAGCTTCCATCACACGATTGTATTTTAGATAGTGGATTAGGTGTTCACAGCACGTTGATCGCTGCTGTTTTTGTTAAATGGTATGCAAAACACCGTCGTCTTCAGCTGGAACAACGTCTCGAGTAACTCGGCGATAGGTGCTGTTGTTGTTAAATTGGGTGCGATTGTTTTTCCCTTTCATTTCAAGTGCTATGTATTCTGTCGGAACCGTCATTCGATGAGTCCAGAATTGGGTCGCCACCGATCATTTATTTTTAAAAAAATAAAAGAATTAGGTTGATCGGACACCTCGATTTATTCTCTTATATGATATGCGTTTTACCAAAAATATATCGGATTCGGGAGTCGGTTACAGTCAAGGAAGAATTAGCACTCTTGTACTTCCCTTTCGGTACTAATTTAATTTCTCGGTTGTCTTAATTGCGAAAATTAAAAGTTAAACTGAAATTTAAAGATTCGATCCGAATTACTTACCTTTAATCGATTTTAAAATTGTCCTAAAAAACAAAGCCAAGTAAATATTAATAATAAAATAAAATAATAAAAAATATTAAAGTAAATAAAAACAAATTTAAAAAAGGAATTAAAATTAGGGTCTAAATAAAATAAAATTTCTAAAGAAAATAAAGAAAAGCAAAAGGCTAAATCGGAAAATACGAGGAATTGGATGTCAAATTAAAGTGAATTGGGGGCTTTGTTTCACGGTGATCTTTCGAGTTTCGATGATCGTTCCTCCTTTGATCCCACGTTGATGTTTGTTTTGATTTCCCTTGCTTTTTCCGATGCTTATTTTTTTGTATGCTTGTGTTTTGGTTGGTTCGACTGCTCGGTTTTTTTGGATGTTGGTTTGATTGGTATTTGTGGTTTTGTTTGCTCGACCTTTAGTATTTGCTTTCGTTTTTTCTCTGTTTTTTGCTGGTATTTGGCTGTTCATGATGTGTTGCTCTCTTCGTTTTATTGCTTTCCGATTGTTCTCCCCTTTGGTGTGCCTCATTGGAGGTATTTATATGGCTCATTCGGGGGTCTGTTACCGATCTTGAAGGGGTTGTACCCCTCGTTTCTGACTTATTCGTCGTTCACGTGATCGGGAATGCCGGGATGGTGCAGTTTCGATTTTCTTGACCGACCGATTCTTTTTTACTGGGGCTTTGGTTGTGGTTGTTGCGTGACCGTTGGATTGGGTCAGATCCAACGATCCAAATCTGGCTGCGCAGCCATGTACCCTTTTAGGGTTTCACAACCCTTAATTTGCTTCAATCTTGGTCGTTCGTTCGTGCTTTGATCGTGTGGCTCCCGTCTATGCGGCGTTGTAGCTAAACGTGAAACCCTAATCGGGTTAGGGTTGGGTCAGACTCTTTACCCGATTGGGCTTCTGTTGGACCCGGACTTATTGGACCCTAAAAAAGAAAAAATAGAATAAAAATAAAGAAATAAACAAAATGAATAAATAAATAAATATAAATAAATATAATGTAAATAAAACTATATTTTATAAAAACATATATTATATATATTTTCAAAAATGTTTTCTAAATTATCTATTATATATTTTCAAAAACGATTTCAAAACTATATATTATATATGTTTTCAAAAATATTTTCTAAACTATGTATTATATATATTTTCAAAACGTTTTCAAAACTATATATTATATATATTTTCAAAAAATGTTTCCAAAACTATATATTATATACGTTTTCGAAAAATGTTTTCCAAAACTATATATTATATATATTTTCAAAAATATTTTCAAAACTATATATTATATATGTTTTCAAAAATATTTTCTAAACTATATATTATATATATTTTCAAAAAATGTTTTCCAAAACTATATATTATATACGTTTTCGAAAAATGTTTTCCAAAACTATATATTATATATATTTTCAAAAAATGTTTCAACAACTATATATTATATATATTTTCAAAAAATGTTTCAAAAACTATATACTATGTATTTTTTTTAAAAATGTTTCAAAAACTATATATATATATATATATATATATATATATATATTTTAAAATGTTTCAAAAATAAAACTCCTGACGAAAATGAGTGACTACATATTCAAATATGCATTTGAAATGATTCTTGAGTTTGGGGTTAGAAAGCTCATTGCATTTCGAGGTTTAACTCATGCCTTGAGAAGAGAGTTTAACTAATATAGAAAAACTAGTGTAGGAAGGAAGTGATGTGGCATCACAGTTGCTCCACTCAATTTTAATTTCAGCAATTGTCTTGATTAATTTGTATGTGAAACTTTTTTCTGATGACACATCCCTTGTTTAGTAGCCAAGAGAAGTTTATGCACTTTTCCGGACCGTAGGATCTCTTGGCATTCTATGTTTCTTTTTTGTTTTCGCTTGCCTTGAAATGGTTAATTTGATTTTGGATGTTAAGTTCCTTTCATGTATTGATATGTTTTCATAAATGGTCTTCATATGCAGAGATCTTTCGGGTCTCGAGAATGATGTCCAACCATGGATTTGGCGACTTTGACCGGATGAGACATAGAAGCCCTAGTCCAATGGCTTCTTCAAACCTTATGTCAAGTGTTTCTCGGACAGGATTAGGCGGCTGGAATAGCCTTCCACAAGAGGTTACTGTTCTTAAACCTTAAACCTTCGGGTCTTTGTTTTGAATATATATATTATCATTCACTTTTTTTCTTGTTTGTTTAATTGGGTGCTCTTCTATTTTACGCATTATATTTGTTTCATGCAGTCTGCCTATAAGTTGACAATTTGGGTTGTAAACTAAGTGACATGTTTATGCTTTTGGTTCACTGGCATGCGTTTTCAGATTATTTCTGGTAAATACCAATATAACCGAGTGTCAAACATTGGAAAGGAGAACTGTAACATGCTAAATCTTATCCTTGGCATCATAAAAACCAAAAACAAACAATAAGGTTTGCAGTTCTCTAGCTTTATTAGTAGACCAAACTTTTAGATATTGATTGGTCTTGGTTTGGCATGGTATATGCATTACTAGTTCCTGGAAGAGTTAATATCTTCATTAGCTAAACCCTTCATCTTAATCCAAATGCTATGTGACTGTTCAAAAACTATGGATTTCGATTTTGGTCGTTAAGTTCTATTAGTTACATAAGAGTAAGGAAAACACTTTGGTCGTTACAAAACGAAAGCATTCCTGACAGATGGTGAATATCTTGAATTCCATATTGATCCTCTTTGCATCTGGTTTATGAATCGAACAAAATGATTGTTTAACCATCAATATTTTACTCAACATTGGACCATCACTCAGATGAGTTCCAAGTCTCTTTCCTGACCAAATTGCTACGGTTGCCAATGGTATTCCTTTAATGAGGTTTAACTGCAGAAGGCAACGGTGAATATAATGGCGATCTATCTGTTCATTTCTGGTTGCTGTTATGCGTTCATCCTTTTCCTTTTGTTTTAACATTCTTATCTATTTTGTAACATTTGGTATCTGTTATTAATAATGTGTTGGGACATGTTCTCACAAAGGTTGTTTCAGGCTTAAACTCTGTTTAAATATGCTTGTTTTCTGTTAATTTTTGGATTGAGCCTTATATTTTGTGCCACTGTTTCTTTTTTGTATTTTGACAGAGACTGAGCGGACCACCTGGGATGTCAATGGACTGGCAAGGTGCCCCAGCAAGTCCTAGTTCATACACCGTGAAGAGGATTTTGCATATTGAAATTCTTGTTGACACATATCCAAACGTAAGCTGTAAATATAACATGCTAGTGTGTTGGACTAAAATTTTACTGATTATAAATTTCATATTTCCATTGGATGTAACAAATGCTTTTGTGGGTATTGATGTTTAGAGTTTTTTCGTTGTTAGTTCAATTTTGTTGGACGACTTCTAGGCCCTAGAGGAAATTCATTAAAGCGGGTGGAAGCTACTACTGGCTGCCGAGTTTACATCAGAGGCAAAGGATCGATAAAGGATCCGCCCAAGGTAAAGCTAGAAAATTTATGCATTGTTGTTGTTGTTGTAAAGGTCCAAGACCATTAGCTTTTGCTATATGTCAACGAGGATCCTTCTGAATCTGGAAGGAAGATCGAGTTCCTGGATAGCTACATGGAGCCTGCGTAAAAAGATATTAAATTTTCAAAAGATAATCAGTTTTTTTTTTATCTTCACCCTCTTTTCTCCTAAGAATTTTCTTTGACATAAAAATTGAATAGTTCCGGATAGTAATTCCCCATCTTGTCCCATATGAAGGAAGAGAAGCTGAGAGGCAGACCTGGATATGAGCACCTGAGTGATCCACTCCACATCTTAATTGAGGCTGATTTGCCTGCTAATATTGTTGACACAAGGCTTAGACAAGCACAGGAAATTATTGAGGAGTTACTTAAACCTGTGGTATGTATGATAATCTTGTTCTTCACTTCTAGAAAGTTCATTAGCCTTTGGTTGCTCTCATATACGCTTCTGCCTTCAAACTCCTCCGTTTTTCATAGAAATTAGCTGCTTTCGGAATCCCCATGGTTGTCAATTTGCAGTCATCATGGTGTTGAACTGTTGATGTTGATATATATTCTTAACATGTATTATTTCCTGAACTTCATATTGTCAAAATGTAGGATGAGTCGCAAGATTTTATCAAGAGACAGCAGTTGAGCGAGCTTGCAATGCTAAACTCGAATTTCAGAGAAGATAGTCCCGGTCCTAGCGGCAGTGTTTCTCCTTTCAATTCAAGTGGAATGAAACGTCCCAAAACCGGACGTTGAGAATCAAACCTGTAAATCATCTTGAAATTGTTTCTACTGTGCTCCAGGGTTTAATAAGCCAACTATATTTTCTGATACATATCGGTTCCGTGTTAACTTGGAAAGATCAGGCTAACAGTTGCTGCTGCCGGTGATGGGATCTTCATGGTTAAACTGTTTTGCCTATCGAAAAAAGAAAGAAATAGAGAATTGGGTCTCGGTCAGTACTCATTTTTGGTGTCATTCATTGGATTTATTCATGCGTTAGTAGGTTTCAATATATGAAATATTGAAGCATAGTGTTAGGTCGGGTCCGATTTCGGAGTATCCAAAGCAAGCACATGGATGGTGTCTTGTCCTTGTGTGAATGTAGTTAGAAACATTTACTTGAGAGATGATTGTTATTTATGATTGGCTGGTTGGGATGCAGCCTGGAATTTGTTTTGGTTTTAAAGCTTTCATGATTAATATTTTGGTCCGATAAAGAAAATAGAAAAGCACGTTGGACCGTGACAGGAATGTCTGCAACATGTTTGATTGGTCTGATGGCACCAGCTGGTTGGATTTTGTTTGGTATTTTATGTATATGTTTGATTGTATGAAAAGCACATGTCTTTGTCTGATTGTTAACGCTTCACTAATTTTATTTGGATGGAGTGAGAAAAGGATCAATTTGTTCAATTTTAAAATTAAGAGGGTCAAAACTTGTCTTTTTTCACTTTTCTGATATTAGAATAGCTTGTCATATTGTGATGCATATGTTTGAAAGGTAAACTTGTGGGACAAGTGTGTTGAAAGGAAACTTTTATAATTGATTAGTGAGAGTATAACATGGATGAAAAATCTTACAAGATATAATGAGGGGCAGGTCACCAAGCAAAACCCCAAAATCCCTTTAATAATTAAATTCGTGTAGAAATATGAAAACTAGCTATTGCACAATATCAAGTATAGACCATGGTCTCTCTTCTTCAACCATATTTTCCCTAAACAATCTATCTGACTGCCTCCGGGGCCGAGTCGCAGTAAGGGGTGTGTAAGCAAACTAACTTGGTGCATGTTAAACAGAGAGTGGCAAAGCTGATTCCAATAGCAAGTCCACAACTGCTTTTTCGCATATCCAACCGATATGCCCTCTCCAGTATTCTAACAAAGCATGGGATCAATCCCCCACAGGCCAACACCATCACATGGTCCAGACCGCTGTAATTGATTCCTGCCAATATCGCTCCGATTGCAGATACTGGCCCTACGAACCCGATGAGAGCAGCTGCTGCCAGGGATCCATGCCAACTTTGAGTAGCTCCGAAGATGCAGCTGGCCACTGCTGCGCCGCGAGGAAGACCGTGAAGGGAGACCGGAAGGACCATGTGCCGGCCAAGTCCATAAGCTTTAGGTGCGGCAACTCCTAGAGCAAGCCCCTCAGCCAATGCATGGAAAGCCACTGTTCCGCATGCTAAAAATGACTGAAGCGTTAGAACACTCACTGGAAATCCTGTAACCAAAGGCAAATCATGTGAAGATCTCTTGTTGCATACAATCTTCAGAATTCTGGTGCTTGAAACATGGACAAATGCAGCGCCTACAGCTAGTAGCGATAAAAGTGGGAAAAGTCCCATTTTAGAGAATACAAGTAGTTGCAATGGTCGCCAGGCACCAAGGATGAAGGCAATGCCAGAAGCAGCACCCATGAGAAGAGCATGTTGAAGGCAGAAAGCAACAGCAAATGCAACAAGAACGAGGCCGCCCAGTAAAGGTCCAAGACCAAAAAGTAACGAAACAAAGAAGCCAGAGGCATCCTCGGAACTGGAAATTCAAAACAATGTAATTCAGTTTAAAAAATGAGGCTGCCAGATTGTATCATGGGCAACAAGCCCTCATAGATCACGATATCATGTAGTTCTACAAAATGGAATACATGCTCTAAAAGACAAAAAGGCATAATGCTGCTGAAACAGAATCTGAAATCAACTTTAATATACAAAAGGATATAATTCCAGCAAGAACAGAAAATAAACCCAAATTAGTTGCAATGATGTATTATCCAGCCACACATTCTTCTCAACAAACTATGGTTCAATTCACTCACCTGTAATCATGACTGAAGTTCTGGAACAGAGTGCTTAGTGCTTGCATGAATGCTACTGAAAGTGTAGCTGCTGATGCCACTGGAGTTGGCGAAGCTTCCTATTAGAGTGAAAAAATAGAACAGTATCAAAGAAGATTAAACTCGTGTCATTTAAAAAAAACTTTTGTTCAAGTAAAGTCTATCATTTTTAGGAATTGCAAAAGTGAGAAGCTGCAGAGGATGAAAGTAGTAGTTGCTCATTAGCATAGCTTGGAAAATTCTTTATATTATTAAAGAACCTAAGTTAGAAAAATTCCGGTGAAAGCATTCTTGATAGGATACAAAGCAAAATAAAGGGTCACGCAAGACAGTTGTAGAAGCAAATACTTATTCTTGAAGATTCAAAAAGATATATTTCGTGCAATAAGTGCAGCCACCTTAAATGCATCAGGGAGAACCTCAGCAACGACCATCCAGATCATACATCCAGCAGCGAAACCAGTACAAAAGGGGAGTACTTTATTAAATGCATCAGCACATATAAACGAAGGAACTGCTACAATGGGCTGCCAAAAATTTACGAAAAGAATGATATACGGATAAACAATCATTGAAGAAATTAATTAACAGAGAAATTATACTCGAATAAGAATAGCAGTTTAATTGGATTGACACTCTCATAATCTTAAGTCTGAAATTTAGAATTCGTATTTAGTTCTTTCTTTTGCCAATTGCGATGGATGACACCAAGATGCAGTTATTTACTAGTGTAACATCAATCAAGCATGCAAATGACAGTTAAGATGGTTCGAATCACCTAGAAAAGTTTTTCCTTTATTCATAATCTGTTCACAATGAATCTTCTATTGACCATATTTACCCGGTCTTCAAATTTATCTACTTCACCACTGCTTCTTTCACTTTTCTTTTTCAACCAGATACTTGAAGTTCTATGTTAGGACTATATCCATTGACACAGAATGATATGCTTAAAGCCTTACAAACAGCATTACATGAATAGATACCTGCGGTAAGGATGTAATCACACTCCATAACATTGCATTTTGTGGAGAAACACCCCTTGATGCAAGGACCATGCTTACAGCCAATCCTTCTGGTATGTTATGTACAGCTATGGCTAAAGTTACCAAAAGGCCTTGAGTAAAACCTTTTGAGCCAGCAAATGAAACTCCAACACCAGAGCCCTCTCCAAATGAATGGAGGGTCATAATTCCAATGACAAGGACAACTTTAGTTGCATCTGCTCCTTTTATATCCAGCATACTTACTTCCCCATACTGTTCAAGTACCTGAAACCCAAACACGATGACATATTAACAGCCTTAAAGGCTCTCTAGGAGCAAGAATGAACCTCATACGCGACAAGGTTGAAAAAGTGAAAACCCTTTCTTCATTTGCAAGGTCCGAAACAGAATTATTCCGCATGTGGCGTATCTGCTTTGCATTGAAGGTGGGGGAAAGAATAGCAGCTCTTTCTATTATAATTCTGCAATGGCAGTAAATAAAGCCAAATAACTGATATGGGATACTGTGATCACCTTCTTACAAAGCAAAATAAAAATGCCACCAGCTAAAATCCCAATCACGACCCAACTTCCAGCACCATGTTCCTGTCCTTCCTGTATGAGATCAAAACTTGCAGCCAACATGACACCAGCAGCCATTCCATTGCATATCCCAGCCCACTGAGGATCAAGCTCAACAAAGAAAAATGGAACGGCACCTAGACCAGTTGCTGCAGCCATTGCCAACGTAAAAAGCATGACCATGGACACAGACACTCTGCCGTAAGTGTTAATACCTTTCCAGTCACTCATTGCTTTTTCATCATCCTCGGAACCTATGATCTTCTCTGTACCAGTGCCATCTATAACAGTGTCCCCTAAATTTTTATGGGGAGCTCTTCTTCTTTGTGAAATTACATTTTGATCATCTGCTGTGATGCATTCAAGGAACGAAAGGGTAATGAATAAAAATAGAAGCAGATCCTTGCTCCTGAACTGCATTGCCTTTTATTATTCCAACAAATCTATCACTGTCCAGTACGTTTAAAAAACGCACCTGAGCTATTCAAGCTGCAATTAAAAACACAATTTTAGTGAAAAACGAAGCTTTTTTTTCCCAATCAAATAACAAAAACATGACCAAGAAGGATATTGAGGCTTGACAATTGAAACAAAAACCCTCCATTGCTATAATCCAGTATACTTGAGATGATCATAAAGAAATATTACATACAATCAACATGATAATCATTTCAAAATAGAAGAAATTTCCAAGTAAAAAAATTCAAAACCCTAATTGATAAAAATATACAACCTTCACAAGAAGCAAGCATCTTAAAAATCCATAATTCCTCAATGGCCGCAAAAACAAATAGGTTCAATTTAATAGTAATGTAACCCCTAAAACAGATCATGGAAAAAAAGGGGAAAGGCCAGAATGTTGCAATAAAAGGAAGAAAAAAATACCAGATTTGATTAGATAGAAAAGTAATTGTAATAAATATGATGATAGGTAACCAAAATAAGATGAAACTCATATAGGAATCTTGAGCATACCTGCAGGTGCAGGGTTCTAAACAAACGATGGCCAAGAATTTCTTCTTTGATTTTGTAACGGGGAAGAAGAAGAGAAAGAGAAAGAGGGAAATTAGGGTGGATAGGAAAGGGATAACAGGGCGCCGTTTCCCTGGTTACTGATTTCGATTTTTGATTAATCAATACCAATTGGCGTTAATTGAAAGAAATAAAGAGGAAACCTTCAACTCGGTGTAGGATGTGAAATCAGGTTATTGTTCACGTTTCAATTCTGATCTCATATATGAGTTATGTTAGGCCAATTCAATGGTTCCACTTAGACTAGGTCGGGTTCGTGTCAAATCAGTTCGGGTAATTTTTAGATTGATTTTAACATTAGATTTAGTTCGGGTTTGTATCGGGTTAGATTCAGTTTGGACTGATGGTAGTTCAGGTCAAAATGTTAAGGTTCTTCCAGGTTAATTCAGGTTCAGATGAACTTTAGGTCGGATCTCGTTCAGATCGGATGATATCATTGAGAGACAAAATTATGGTCGGATCTTACCGGGTACAGATTGACTTCAGGTCGAGTAATTTTTGGGTTAATTATTTTGAGCTTTTCATGAACGGCGAATTATAGTTTATAATTGTATATGTCGGAGTAAATTAAAAAATATATATAAATGATTGTGAGTGAATTTAATAAAAATATTATTTTATGACTAAATTGAACAAAGAAGAAATTACAAACATAAATATAAATAAATTAAACAATACACATGTATGAGGGATCAAATTGAAATATAAATAAGTATGGGATAATTTCATATACAAATATAAATTTAAGAACTAAATTGAAGTAAATTACAAAAATATAAATAAGAATGTGCCAATTTGAAAAGCTCGTATAATTTTAAGGACTAAATTGAACAAATATAAAATTTCAAATAAAAATTTAACTAAATGACACAACACGTATGGACCAAATTCAAATAATTGTAAAATATGAAACTGAAATAAAAAAATGGACTGAATTGCATTCATTTTAAAAGTTGAGAAAAAAATTAAAACAATTTAAATATATTCTATACTTCAATTTAATGTTATTTCCAAATAATTATAAAATATAATGTTATATTAATGCATACATTATAAGTATATACTTATATAAGTATAAAATATATGAATTATATATAAACTATATATGAACTATATATATATAGTCTGCATATGAACTATATATATATAAACTATGTACTATATATAAAATAATAAACTATATATATAAACTATATACTATATACTATATATACTTATAGTTTATATATAAACTATATATTTTATACTATATATAAACTATAAACTATACTATATATAAACTATATATTAAACCTTAAACCATATATAAATTATATATAGTTTATTTATATAATATATATAAACTAAATACTATATATAAATTATATACTAAACCCTAAACCATATACTATATATTTTATATAAACTATATACTAAATCCTAACCCATATATACTATATATAAACTATAAACTATATATATATATATATATAAACTATAAGTTTAATTATAAGTATTATTGTATAAGTTTATATATAAACTATATATATACATATAATTTATATATAATCTATAAACTATAATGTATTATAATATATAATATAAGTTTAATTATAATGTATTATAGTATATAATATAAGTTTAATTATAATGTATTATAATATATAAATATAAGTGTAAAATAAGTATATAGTATATATTTGTGGGATTAAATTAAATAAATAAAAAATTCCAAGTTGAAATTAAAGAAATTAAAAGAAGTTAGGGGATTAAATTGAATTAATTTAAATTATGGAGATAAGGATATTATCTCCATAAAAGTGCGAGCCTAGAAGCTCGAATTATTTAGTGGCATAAATACTATTTTATGATTTATAATTTCACTCAATTAGTTCATTTTTTGATTTCTCTCTCTCTCTAGATTTATTCTCTCGAAAAAAAACCTCTCCCTTCTCTAGAAAAACACATTTTTCTATAATCTTTTCATTTTTTTCGATCAAACCACAAAAATTCATCTGTGTTCTTCACATGTTCATCCCTAAAAAGCTCATTTGATCCAAAATAAACAAAATTCTTCATCCCTTTTGCGTTTTTTCGATCAAAACACAAAAATCCATTTGTATTCTTCATTTGTTCATCTCTAAAAGCCTATTCAATCCAAAATAAACACAAACCTTCATTCGATTTCTATTTTTTTATCAAAACACAAACCCTAACCCCTGTTCATTTAGTCTTCCCTAAATAACTCATTCGATCCAAAATAAACACAAATCATCCTTCAATTTCTATTTTTCTCTATCAAAACATAAACCCTAACTCTCGTTCTTCATTTATTCTTCCAAAAATAACCCATTTGATCCAAAATAAACACAAATCTTCATTCTTTTTACGTTTTTCTCGATCAAAACACAAACCCTAACCCATTTTCTTCATATGTTCTTCCCTAAACCCATTTGATTTAAAACAAACACAAATCTTCCTTCAATTTTGTTTTTCTCGATCAAAACACAAACCATAATTCTTGTTCTTCATATGTTCTTCCCTTAATAAACCATTCGATCCAAAATAAACACAAAATTTCATTTGATTTCTGTTTTTCTCGATTAAAACACAAACCCTAACCCCTGTTCTTTATCTATTCATCCCTAAATAAACCATTCGATCTTTTCTTGATCTTATGTTTTTCTTTTCTTAACTATTGACCTTCTGTAAATCCTGAAATAAGGATAGAAAACCCTAACCCATCTCCTTCTTATTCTTGACTCTAACCTTCTGTTATTATTTTCTTCTATCGAATCTTTTGATTTTTTAAGGGTTCGATGGATAGTCATTCTTATGAGTTAAACTCTCCAAGTATTTTATTCTATTATTTATTTATTTTTCTTAAATATTCTAACAAATTATTTATTTCTCGTACATGAGAATTACAAATAGATCAAACTGAGCAACGATCCCAAAGAGGTATATTATTAAGAATTCTGTTTTATATTTGGCATTTTATTTCTGTTTTTATTTATTTATATTTGGTTTATATTCTGTTTTTTATATTTTTGTTTTATATACCATGCAAATATTGTTTTATATTTCGTTTATATTATTTGAGTGTACTAATATAGTAATATTGAATAAATGAGTTAATCTTAAAAATGACATTAACTTATAATTATATCAATTAAAACAATTTTCTATTTTTTATATTATGTTGACCATGCAAATCTCTTATTTTTGTATTATGTTGATTTATGTTTATGTTTTTTTATGTTTTTTATTTTTGTTTTGTATTTGGTTTTTTATTTTTATTTTATATTCTAACAAATGTCTATTGTTGTTTTTTGTTTGAAGATGATGTAAACGACCAACAATCCACAACAGTTGATGACATTATTACTAGTAAGAGGAAGGCTGCATCATAATTTGGGAGAATGACTTCTCATGTTTGGGATCATTATACCTTCATCAAGCCTCCCGAAGGTAGTCTTTATGCCCAATGTAAGTATTGCAAATTAAAAAGGTATAAAGTTGATTCTTATATTGGTACATCTAACCCTAAAAGACATACTGATAAATGCCAAGCTTATAAGGATTTTCTTGTTGAAAAATCCTAGTATGGAAAGATCTTTTGATCAAAATAGACATTGTCAATTGTTTGTTTAGGCTATTATGTGTCATGGTTATGCTTTGAGTATGGTTGAGCATGAAAAAGTTAGGGCTTTGCATCATTACCTTAATGTTAACGTGAAGGATATTTCGAGGTATACCATTACTAAGAATTGCATGTTAGAGCATGAAAAGCATAAGAAATATCTACTTGATTCAATGCATTCTGTTTCAAATCGAATCTGTTTTACATGTGATGGATGGTCTGTCTGCACTTCACGTTTTTATTTTGTTGTTATTACACACTGTCGATAATAATTAGAATTTGTAGTCTAAAATACTTAATTTTCATCGTTTTCCTCCACCACATGATTCTGAGTCAATTTTAAGTTTGTGAAAAAAAATGATATCCTAGTGGGGTCTTGAGAAAAAAGTTTTTACCATAACTCTTGACAATGCTTCTACAAATGATAAAATGGTTCAAAGACTTAGAGATGATTTGCATGTTATTCTCCTCTTCCATGCAATGGTAAGTATTTTCATATAAGGTGTGTAGCCCATATTTTGAACTTGATAGTTCAAAAAAGTTTGAAGGTAATTGATTCTTCGGTTATTAAGTTAGGAGAAATTGTTAAGTTTATTGATTTTTCTAATTCCCGACTTTGTTCCTTCGAATTAGCTATTAAAGATTATGATTCTTCTTTTCATGGTAAATTATTAATAGATATTCCTACTCGATGAAATTCTACTTACTTAATGATTCATAGGGCACTTGATAATAAATTGGTCATTAACTTGTTTGTGAATATAGAAAATGACTTGGATATGATTACTGAGGGTCTGTTTGTTTCCCGTAATTGGAATTACAGAATTGGTTTTCCCCGAATTCCCATGTTTATTTCACGTAATTCGTTTTCCGGAAAATATTTTCCCGTGTTTGTTTCACGTAATTCATTTTCCGGAAAATGTTTTCCTGTGTTTGTTTCACGTAATTCGTTTTCCGGAACGTAATTCATTTTCCTAGTAACAGAATTTCCTTTGTGTTTTCTGGAAAATGACTTACGGATTCATTTTCCGTAAGTCATTTTCTAAACTTTTCACTTCAAAGAATAAATACTTAAAATAATTTTATTTTATGAATTTAATATTAAATAAAATATTTTAATATCATTTTCATCAAAACATTATTTATTAATTTATTAATATTTATAATAATATAATATTATATTTTTAATATTATATAAAATAATCAATTATATTATAATAATATAAGATATTATATTTTTATTTTAATAATACATAATAAAAAAATTTATATATTTAATAATGAATAATATTATTTATATATTTAAATAATATTTTAATAAAGATATTTAAAATATACTAATTAATATTTTTAAAATATAATATAACACTATTACTTTAATAAACAATTTATAATATTTATAATATTTTTATTTCACTAAAATATACAAAAATTAATATTTTTGTTAATAAAATTATAAAAATACTATTTAATAATAAGTAAATTATTTTTAATAATAAAAAAGTTTTATGATAAATAATAT